TTTTTTTTCATTATTTCATCGATTTGAAACAAAATGCAGTTGAACATAAAATCTATAAAAATGAAAATTGCATGCTTGTACAGATTATCGTCCACTTTTGCAAAAAAACGTCGCATCGGTGTTGAACCGGCGATTAACAACAATTTAACATTCAATTATTCTTACAACTTTTTCTTGCTTTGTGCTTTTGGTAAATTTTTCAATACAATCAATCCAGATTTTACGTCCTTGATTTTATTTTTCAGTGTGCGTACATTGCTTGTTATAAAATCCTCGCCACCCCCATCTACATTTATATATTAGAGCGAAGAAAATTATAATACAAATTTTGTCACGCAATACAGGAAAAGGATAAAATTCAGTGTACAATAATTTTCAATGATGCAAGTACAATTATATATTCGAGTGCTTTCAAGTCATAGTAAAATATACAGTATGCATTTCAATAGACGTAAATAGAAAAATACGTTTGCAACCGACAATAAGTATATGGTATATACGAATCCCTTTCAGCCACCGATTCTTTAATTTCCAACATTACGCATTACTTTAGTTTTGTGCTCGAGAAATATATTCAACCGCATAACGTGTAGTGTATATTATGTAATACGTATCAATACGAGGCAAGTATAATATATAATGTTAGTGCAAAGAATCGCTTGCATATATACGTGTACGTATAGTCTAAAAGATAATTGGTCAATCGAAATATTTATATCTATAAACTTGATCGTACGTGCAAATTTTCTACAGTGCAAAACGTTGCTGGTACGAATAGCGAGACGCAACAGACCTTTGTGTATAATATAATACCTTTCTTTCGCTATTTGTTTAACGCTTGTGTGATTTTTTTTTTTTTTTTTATTCATCCCTATTTCATCTTTGGTACTCTGGTCGACCGTGATGGATTATTAGTATACGTTAACGCGCATGTGTTGGTATGGGTGTACCAGCAGGTGTGAATGTAACAGTGGAGAGACGGAGGCAAAAATACGCCAGAAGTACTGGTTCAAGTCTCGGTCTCTATCAGGGCACAAATAAAAAGTGACGCAATGAGAAATAAGTGAGGTAATATTACAGGTAAACGTTTTTAAATTAAAGGCATGTTTTTTTTGCGTGGAGCAAAAAATTGTGGTCACCCCGCGAGATAACAGCAGAGCCTGCGAGCTGTGATATTTACACGGATGAATGCACATTATCCGGCCACCAGATCGTACCACTGGATATTCAGAAAAACTGGCAAACAACAACAAAGTAGTAAAATTCATCCCGTACGTTGCCCAAATAGAATACTTGTACAAAACCGTGCCAGCAGGCAAAGTTGACAAAAATTGCACCTCTGTAATAATTGCACATAGACATGCTTATACTCATTAGGTATGCCGTATGAAATAACGCAGATCCTATAATACATGTGTAATGTATACCCGCAGCAGCGATCTACGCCACTGTCTTTATGGGAAACAAAGCACCGAGCAGCGGAAAAAAAAAAAAGAAAATGTCCATCCCAGCTTGAAATCCGAGATCGCACGATTACCGCCAATTGGTGACTGAAAGGGCAAAAAAAAAAAAAAAAAAACAAAAAAAACCTGAAACCGATCGACGATTTGCCTCGATTTATGTATGTGCATGTAATTATTGTATATATACTGTACACAAGGCCATATATAATATTTGTAAGCAAGCACTCGACGCTGCACGCATGGTATATAATATAACTCGACATGATCGTCCTATTGCGTGATAGTAGTAGTGATGGCATAATGACAATAGACGAGCCGAAGGGAGGGAAAAAACGGGAATCGGTATAGCGTAAGGTAATATGAACAACGATGCGCAATTCAAGACAAGCGCTCGACGGTGGCGAGCGAGCCGTGTCTGCCCCGAGTGAAGACGCACGCGTAGCACGTGCCGTTCCTCACGAGGAGAAAGGCAACGGTGTCGGCGTAGCCCCAGAGCATGAGCATCAGCCTCGAGTCCCCGGAGACCCATAGAGCACGATACGAGGTCGCCCGTCTCCTGCCACGGCCACCTCTTCGCCTCCTACCACCCGCTATGACCGACATGATCGGGTCCTCCTCCTCCTCCTGGCTCTGTGGTGCTGGTGGTTCACCTCCTTCTCCTCCACCATCGCCAGTTGGTGGTCCAACCGATCGCGAGCCGGTCGTCGCCGCGTTGTTTGACGCCGCCACGCTGCAGTTGTACTAACTGATCTCGTCGTCCGGCGAGTCAGGAAGCTCGTCCGTCTGCGTGGCGGCGTCCCTTCCTCACGTGATGAGCACCCCCCCGGGGGTTATCTCCCAGGGCAACGGGGGCGTCGTCGCCGTCAGCGAGAGGCTCGAGCAGCGCGCCAACGAGCACCGTTCCATCGAGTACCGCTCCAGACCTTGCAAAGCGACCAACACTTTTTTTTTATTACAATACAATATACGCGTGATGCCTTTGTTTTTCACTCACAATTCTCAATTGTTTACCATCGCGTTAGCTTTATGGTTGATCCATATGGCCCGCTCAAAGGGGATAGATATGTGTATCATGTGCATACCTGATATATCCAAGCCACCGATGCTGCAGACGTCGAGGCTGCCGGTGTTGGTGGCGCAACAATGCTGCTTCGCATCCGTCTGCTTTGGCCGGCACAACAGCTGGAACAATCGAGCACACGTTGTACATCATCATCATCATCATCATCACGTATGATTATAGGTACAGAGTTTGAGCGCATCTGTCGCATGAATAAAAAGTGACATCGCAATGTCCGAATCAAGGGTGCAGCTTTTTTTTTTTAAACGGGATGAATCGTTCGAAACGCGCTCCGATCGAGGGCACCCCCGAAAAATCAATGCGCCCGCTCTCCGTGGCATTGATAATTCATGGATCGGCAGACTAGTGCTCTGTTGTGCCATGCAAATGGGTTCTCGTGAGCGATTCGGTACTTATACTCTCGACAAACTAATGAATGCGCTCGAGTGAGATAGGGCCAGCAAAATACATCCGCACTCACATGTACGTGCATTGTGTTTCGATAAGCTCGACTCTCTCGTTCAATTAAAAAAAAAAAGGAGCGTCACTCGTCGATTGACTTCTCGACCGTACGAAAAACAGCGCAAGCGAACGAACTTTGCTAAAAAAGAGGCGGGCCGATCGTTAGCCCGACCAATCGGTCTTGAGGTGCGAAAAACGCCATGGTGCCCTTGAACACCGGCATAGGCCGCAGGAGAAAAAAAAAAAAAAATCATCGCAGAGTACTCGTTAACCAGCGCCGCACGTCGTTCGAGTATCGGACGAATTAGCCGCGTCGAATCAATTATCGGTACGTGCTGCTTCTCCCAGCCGTTTTCTCCATTTAATTGCTGCGCAAGTAAACATCGGCCGTTCCCGTCCTAATGGCCGGATTAATCTCGTTCGGCGCACGGACTAACAACTCGCGCCGTTCGCGTGACTATTAAATTATTAAGTGGGTATGATTTTGGATGGATTTTTGGAAATATAACGTTACACTTGGGGAATTCGGTAGGAAGTTTTCTGCAAAGTTGGAGGGGGCTCGACGACAGTGAAGTTTGAACAAACAGTAAGTTTGAACTGACGTGGCTTAATTATCATACATGGTGCAAAATACAAAATCAATGCATCACTTGAAATCATATTAGCTTCAAAGTGTCAAAACGAAAAATAAATTTTCCCTGATCTAGCCGTTCACAGGTTTAATTGTACGCATATAGTATGCACACGTGTATATACGTATCTTTTGAACGTGGCATCGTTTCTTCGTTCTCTCGCGGTTTCGCCCGTCCCATCCTATATACATGCGTACGTGTATACCACAGTATGGATACCTGCACACTTGCTGCGGCGCGTCGGGCAAACAAACGGCCCGGCGCGTAATCAAGGATTTACGGGCTAACGACGCGCTTTACGGAAAATTCATGATCTGTAAAGTCGAATACGGTTGGAAGAAATACTCTGTTTTCTCGCTACGTGTGCGTGCGCGCGTTTAATGGAAAGAGGAGGTACTTTTTTTGCGGGTCGAGCTATATAGATCTTTTTTTTTTTTTTTTTTTTTTTTTTTTTTTTTTTTTTTTTTTTTTNATTGTTCGTTTGCGACCTTTCAGAGCTACGGGGGTTGTTTTTTTTTTTTTTTTTTTTCACCGTAAAGATTGTTGAATGAGCCGTATTTTACTTTTCGCGTTTAAAACGTGCGACAATAATTGTAATTTTTGAACTCGCTTTTTGTTCCTATAGCACGTGTGTCGAATTATAAATTTTGAACGTTTAAAAATTCTACCAGAAAAACGTAAATGTCAACGTCTGATCATACTCATCTTATACTACTAGCATACTCTTAATTCTACGATGTTTGTAACCTATATCAGAATTCAATGAGGAAAAAACGTCAACGTCTGATCAGACTCGTCTTGTACTACTCGCACACCCATAATTCTACAAAGTTTATTACAACGTATAAAAATTCCACGAGAAAAAACGTCAACGTCTGACCATACTCGTCTTATACTACTGGAATACTCTTTATTCTACGATGTTTGTAACCTATATAAGAATTCCATGAGAAAAAACGTCAACGTCTGATCATACTCGTCTTATACTACTGGAATATTCTTAATTCTACGAAACTTACAATGTATAAGGATCCATTTTTATCTAGCGTCTATCGTATTGGTCACGTGTTTTGGTCACGTCAGTCAGTCATCAAATCAGTTGTTGTGGAATACAATTTGTCACGTTACCTGAGCACGTAACCAACAACTTTTCTATAGCATTAGAATCTCATGAGGAAAAAAAAAGTCAACGGCTGATCATACTCGGCTTATACTACTTGTAAACCCTTAATTCTTCAACAACTGAACAACATTGTTGTACCCGTGTAATCTTCTGTTTTGAATAAAAAAAGAAGAAAAAAAGATGTCCCAAAGTGTACAAACAATCCCACGATTCGAGAGGGACTCCCCGTGGTGGGGGAAAAACCACACGAGATGAGATATCGTCCTTTTAAATTGGCCGTGCGGCATCACAGCCACGCTGGCTTTGTAAAATATCTCGGCCCATCTGTCCCTGGCAGCTTTTCAATTTTCACCTCCAAGAGCTTCGTCCGCCCTACTAACCTGCCTCCTCCATCACCGCACGTAGCTTGAGATGCTACGCGAATCAAACGAGCTTTCCACAATATCGGACTTGAATCACTCCCACATACGCCAGATGAAAGGGATGTCCCGCGTATTGGGTATCGTCTTGAATTTTTCGAGCTGTAATTTTGTTTATGCTCTATAGCTGGTACATTTCTTAAAATGGCTTTCGTTTCTTCTTCCCCCTCGCTCCGCTCGAACGAAACAAATAATTTAAATAGAAAAAAAAGAAGGAAAAACAATTCACTCGAGTAGGTGCCCAAAGTCACAGTAACTGCACAGTTCGGATTCGCCGAGGAACGCAAACTTGATGGAGCGCGAAAGGGGAGCTATACAACAGCTCTCGAGTAGAAGAGGCGATGCCCGGAGGAGGAGGAGGAGGCGGCGAAAAAAAAAAAAACCTCGTTACCGATAAAAACCGTAACTGTATTTGCCCACGCAAAAGGACAGGCACGCGCCGATGCACTTTTGCCGTTGTAGATTTTTTTTTTTTTTTTTCTGTTTATTCGGAATTTCATTGTTCGTCAAGTTGGTGCTTTTATTTTTCGAGTGTACCTCTGAAAAAACAGAGAAAGGGGATGGAGTAGACTAATTTTGTAGCCAAGAGGTACTTTATAGTATATGCATGGCGTTGATAGACCGTTGCGCGCCTAATGGAGCGCGTGATTGGAGGATTTTTCTCTCTCGGTGCAGCAAATTCTCTTAGGGGGAAAAAAAAACAAGCTTACCTTGGTGTAGAGGAGCTCGCGCGAGATGCGTCGGAAATGATTGTTGAGGAGCCAGTAGAGAAAGGGGTTCCAGAAGCTGTTGGAGAGCGAGAGCCAGGTGGCGATGAAGTCGAGGAAGGCCGGGGGCTTGCTTCCGGTGCAAGCGGCCACGACTTCCTGGATCGTCCAGGGCGTCACCATGACAATGAAGCCGAGACTCATGGCTGCCATTGTTCGCGACGCCGATGTCGACAGGCGACGCTCATTCAACACCAGCTGCAACCAAGTTCGTACATAGATGCAAATATATGTATATGCATTATAATATGTATACGCAAGGAGTCACGGGTGGGTGGTTGTGTACGACCTACGGATGCTCTCCTACTTTGGTGTACACACCTTACGCGAATGTATTAGAGGACACGTTCGCTTAGCAAATATTACTTGGAAAAAAACAAAATTTGGAAGAAACGAATTTATCTTCCAGGAGTACACGGACCGGAAAACTAAAAGTGAAATACACGCTTGTCCGTTTCCTTCTATTGAAGAACTGTAGTCATGTGCGAGAAACGTTAGGTCTAAAGTTACTATTATGGAAAAATCAAAGGTTTTTCTCTATTTTTTTCTCAATCGAGGCCCCACTCAAATTACTCGTTTAAATTATTATTTATTGTTCCATAGAGGAAACCCTAAAAATGCACTGGTATACTCATCCATTGGAAAAAAATCAAAAAAAAATATCAAAAAGGCTGATACACAGGTATATTTATGCGAGAGACTCAGCCAGGGTTAATCCACAGCTAACTTAGCGTCATCCGGTGACGTTAAGCGCAGCGCGTCCGCGTTAATCTCGCATAGTCAGGTTTTTCCTCCGGCTTGTGAATGTGAAGCTTCGTTTTACTTGCTAAGACTTTGATGCTCTTTTTTTTCAGTTTTTTGACAGGTGCCTCCTTCGTATGACAATGATAATGAATAAAAAAATTTCTCCTCTCAAATACCTTGTAAAAACGAAAGATGAAGCAACACAATTTAATCATCCCTCCCGCCTTACCCCACAGTTTATACGTGCACTCGAAACCAGAGTCCAAATGAATATAATCCGTTTCAGCGAGTGCCCGGCGCATTACGAGCATCACAAGGATTTCCTCCTTCATCCAGGCCGCGTGTATAGCTCTCGCACGTACGCAGGACGACGCGTCACCTCCTCGCAGCCCGAGCGTAAAAAAGTAACGCGGATAATCCACGAGTGGCAGCATCTCTTTTTCACCTTCTGAAGGTCTCTTTTTCCTTTTTTCTCGTCTTCTCTACACAGGCTAATCCGGCGATTCGAGGTGAGCAGCGCCCTCGACTTTTCGAGTGGAAATTACTTCTTTCTCGCCTACGAGCCTCCCTTTCCCTTCTCATTTCTCCTCTAATTTTCACAGATACGCACACACGACCGTCAGATTGGTCTTTGCTATACCTGCATCTTTGCTCGAGGCAGCGACTTTACTTTTCACTTTTTGGTGTAACTTTTATTCTTACGTCCGCTCAGTTTATTACGCGTGTCCAGTGTAAAAAGCCTCGATTTCGGACACTGGCGCCTAACTTTTATCTCCACGAGTATAGTATGAAGAGAAAAGAAAGAAAGAAAAGAAAGAAAAAAAAAAAAAGTCACTGTTGATGTTTCTCCACCTCGAGCCAGCGGCGTCGAATGTGTGTCAATGCTATCGTTGTATCGATTATAAAAGCCCGCTCTCGCCAACTACACGTTTTTATGGCTTTTCCTCATATTTTTTTTCTTTTTTTTTTTTTTCCTTCTTGGGTAAAAGAAGAAGCGCGCCCCGCAAGTTGAAAGCGAGAGCTGGATAACGCCGGCTCGGGGTTGTCTCTAATTAATTTTGCGGCACAGAGTCTTTGACGAGGCTCGAGTTGAAGCAGCGGCTGAACGACTCGTTTGGGGGGAGTAACGAACGAGTATACGAACATTGAGATGAAAAAGGAAAAATCCATCCCACTACACGCGAATTGCAAGGGTCAACTAATTATGCGACGATTCATCATTGAAAGAAAAAAGAAAAAGAAAAAAAAAAGAAAAGGAAATCTTGTATTCTTTATAGGTAGAGCCCAAGCGTGGATGGTATAGGAAACAATTTTCCACGGCCAGCTTCAAAAGACGATGGTTAAAATCGTCACGCACGTACGGGCACTCCCCCAAGCGCACTCTGAGGCTTTCCTTTTTCATTTCGGAGGAATCAATTTCCTGTGGGGAAAACCGCTCGTCATCCCCAAGCTATAGTCCGAGCCAACTGTCGGGATTAATAAAAAAAAAAAAAAAAAAAAAGAAAAAAATATTAGCAGGAAGCAGTTTAACTGGGCGGTCGATCTTTCTTTTCCCTCCGGGTGCCCATGTGGGAGCAGGAGTGTTTTTAATGATATTGTAGCTATAGGGACGAGGTCTTTGAATGCGACGCTTTTTCATTCCCTTTTTTTTTTGTACACGTTACATGTGTATAGACGGGAGTCGCGCGTTACGCGACTATCTCCAGAGAGGCCCACGCGTAATGGCTTATCGATATTCGTGACTGTAAACGCTTCCTCTGTTGAATATTAACGACCGACGTAACAACCGTACAGCTATAACGTACGTGCACATTGGGAGCTATTAGATGTAACGCCTCGCAATCACGAGCTTTGATGCATTGCAATAACAACTCGTGGGTAAGTATATATACGCGTTTTCTGTGAAAGATCCGTTTACGCTTTTTACGCAGGTAACGTTAAAGTGATGGGAGGAAAAAATTAACTTTGCAAATGAAACAGTCGCGTGTGCATTCGTGCTGAATGGAATTGAAAATGTTGGCGGAGGTGTGTACACGGAAGCCCGAAAAGATTACGATCCGAGTGAAAATAATCCAACAGAAATACGGTAACAACAGTTGCAAGCGTTTGATGAAAAAAAAAAAAAAAAAAAAACAACAACAACAACAACGTAAACAGGTAGTATAGAGGGTAATAAAGGTTGTGTAAAGCGCAAACGAGAGCGGAAAACCCGACAAATCGATATTGTCCGGGAAAAACTTGTTTGTAGTTGCAGGTGTTGGTGTACAAGTGCCTTCCCTTCCATTGCCCTTTTCCTTTTTTGTTTTTTCATTCAACACCAAATAACTACCAAATCGATATTTTTGTTGAAATATCTGAAATAGATCGTATACGGGGTTGAAAAATCGCATGATAAAAAATAGAAAAAGTTACCCACATGATACATTAAACTCACGAGGATATAATATGTGTACGTCGTGCACCGTATAGTGATAAATAGGTACCACGATTATATTGCAATTTCAGTTAAATAACAGACGCTGCTGTTACCGGTGTCGTGCCCCCGACATAAAGTATATCATCCATACAGGTACAATGACGTGGTTTGCCGGCTACCTCTGATGCTTTTCCATCGTCAGTGGGTACAGGTGTGCCTATTTGACGAATGAATTTGCGCGAGTATCACCGCTTACGAAAATCGTCGGTGCGTGTTTCACTGGGAAAGAAGAGCGAGGCATTTGGGTCTCGTCCGGGTAAAGTACCTACGATCGAAGGGCTCGCGGGTAATTTCTCCTGTACTCCGAAACGCCGATCCTTTCATCCGCGAACGAAGAGGAAAAAAAGAAGGAAGAACGATCGCGTCGAGAGAGAGAGAGAGCGGCGTAGCAAATGGCGCAACAATTTCCGGCCACGCGATCGGGCCTCCTCCTCCACTTCTCATCCGCATCGCCTGTGCTCTTCTTACGTGTACGTACATGCGAAATCCTCCGGCGGTATATGTGGCGCGTAAGAAACCTCCTTCCTTTTTTTTTTTTTTTTTTTTTTTTTTTTTTTTTTTTTTCTCTCGGTCCTCGTCGCGCCATCGCGTATTTTCCAGCGGATTTCGCCAACGAAATGGGTTAAGTGCAGCCAGGGCTGCTGTGTACTCTCGCGTGCGCAAGGGAGAGGAGGGAAACGAGGCGTGGAAAGGAACGACTTGGAGCCGAGACAAGAGACCGACGCTTTTGCATCTTCGCGAGAGTACGTGCAAGTATACGTATATGTGCGCGAGCCCAGCTTATACCGGGACCCTACCCCTCCCTACGTGTGGGTGTACGCCACTGTCGATGTAAACAGTCGTCGTCGTGACTGTGGGTTACTAACCTTGTTTTTTTTTTCCCTCCCTCCCTCCCTCCTGTCTTGCCGTTGTGGTTGGATGTAACACAATAACCATAGTACGGGCAAGAGTAAAAGAGAGGGTGTGTAGTAAATACGTTTATCGGGCCGAGGGATTATGTGTTCTCGGGGAGTTTCTGGCACGAGAAACCTGGTTTACTGACCCTCGCGGTTTTTCCACCCCCCCCCCTCCCGTCGCTACGCGTGCCTATACGTGGATTGAGTTATCTTGTTTGTTTAGGTTGGTACATTTACTCGAGCGCGGATTGTTCGTTTGCGACCTTTCAGAGCTACGGGGGTTGTTTTTTTTTTTTTTTTTTTTTCCTTTTGTTATTAAATAACTCACGGATCGTGGAAGCTTTTGGCTGTTCGGGTTGCTATTATTCGTTGTTTTATTTTATTTTATTTTCATTCTAAAGCGCTTCGAGAACTGTACAAACTGTGGATTATGATTTGCTTGTAAGTTGAAATTTCCAGGAGCGAACATTTAGAAGATAGTACCCGATGATGCTTGCATCAAAAAGGAAAAAAAGAAAGCTAAAAGAGCAAAACAACAAATGAAAAATCGAGAGCAGAGAAGGTACTGCCGATTGGAGCGCGTAAGAACGTGGGGGTGGTTCGTTATAAGTACAACACAAGTGGTACCGCGTCGTTACGCTTCTTCCTGATCCTTTTTTCTTTTTTTTTCTTTTTTTTTTTTAAATTTCCCCTACTCGTGTGCACCGGCTTGTTTTTCGTTAACTCCAGTGCACCCTTATTTTCCATCCGCTTCTTATCTGCGCTACGTCCGTCTCTCTCTCTCTCTCCCACGAGAGACGTACACGAAGAATAATAAGGACAGTCGGATAGCTTGCTTTTATTACATGCGGATATATATGTGTATATACCCCTTCCCTCTGCCCCCCCCCCTGTTGATCCGAACCATCTGCCGATACTTCCAACTCTAATTGCCGGGAAAAAGTTTCACCGCCTTCCACGAGTTTTTTTTTTTATTTACCCCTTGATGTTGAAATTTAGCTGAAATTTCTTTTCTACCCGCCCACGATGATGTTTTGTTTTCCTTGCCCAGGGAACGAAGAAATGCGAATTTCAAACCAGCTTCATTGAATTCCGATGGCTGCTCCTCCCCCGTGGAATCGAGGGCACCGCTTATTATTAATGTTTGCGGTATTGAAATTTTGCTGAATTAATTTCACATAAATCGGAGAAGGAAGGGCCCTACGAGTCTGCGAGCCATGCACAGCTTTCAAAAATAGTAGTTTTCTGATACTCGTTTGAAAAGTCTTTGTTTGCGAACCGAGAGGTTTGCGGCCCGAGCCGAAGGCGAGGTCCGTAACGAGGTTCGCAAAGGAGACTTTTCGAACGAGTTCCGGAAAACTGCTTTTTCGCCCGAGGAAGTACCAGCCTCCCAAAACCACCCGAGGGCGGAAAACTGTTTTTTCGCCCGAGGAAGTACCAGCCTCCCAAAACCACCCGAGGGCGGAAAAATAATTTTTCATATCCCTCCGCGTGAATGAGTGATAACTGATGATTAATGGTGAAATATGTGATAACTAATCGTTAACCGTGTATTTTCTTTTCCACAGTTTATCGCCAAAAGTATCACCTGGCTCATTTATGAGGGAAATTGAGCATGACCTGAAATTATCGACGAAAAAGAAAAACACGAAACCCCAGTGTAAGCAAAAATTAACGCAAAAAACGTATATACGCGTATATATACTTGGATGCGCATCCGTAGGGGTAAAAGCTCACTTCCGAGCTTTTCGCGCGCGTGGGTGCGATTTGCACTACGTCTTGCAGGTTTTTTTTTTTTTTTCTTCTTTTTCCATGCACTATATTACACGGGCGTGTTCTTCATTCAATGGACCGAAACGACGACTAGGAATCACGCGGACGGAGAAAAAAAAAGAAAAGGTGAAAACGAAGAAAAAGAAGAATCGGAGGAAGAAAGTAGGCCAACGGATGTACTAATCGTCCTTCGTTTTTTCCCAGCTATGCCTCTCTCTCTCTCTCTCTCTCTCTTCGTCCCATCTTGTCTCGTCGGTCATAGCTGGTTCGCGAGAGGGACATTCCACGGAATTAATTTCCCCCCCCCCCCCAAAACAAGTGCCACATCCGTAGTCTTGCACGTTGGCATCATACACTCGGCGATGGTTCGGATGATTAACGCACGCAGCCAAATACACCAAATGTTGGTTTCGCACAGTTCGCAAGAGCAGCTAAACGCCCTACCCACACTTGGTACTTTATCGGGGGGGAAAATAACGCGCCCTTTGCTCTTGATAAACTCGAAGCGCTGATACCACTTTGAATGAGTACGTAATCTCATATTTTCCCTGGTAAGTCCCGCGATATTTTCTTTCGTAGTTAAAAAAAAAAAAAAAAACCACGTCTTCCAAAAGGAGAAGCGCTGGTAAGACAAACGGGCTGCAAGCTCGCTCTTTCGGAAGCGAAGATTATCGCTGGGTCCGAGGGATAATTTTTCGTCGCGGATCGTTGGACAAGTGGGACGGACCGGAATATATTCTCCCTCTCCTTTCGCGACGGCCTGACTATGCTCTATACGTACGCGTTCTCCGATGCGTCGAGGGGGGAGTGTAGCAGAGACGGATCACTGTTTTATTTTTTTATTTTTTATTTTTTTCATTCGTTGATAGGGAGAAAGCTAAACTCCCCCTTTTGCACTCGAGAGAGATGTACAACGTGTCGAGGCGCGTGCACGGACATTTGCATCTTAACAAAAAAGCTCGGCTCGAGCTTTTGCGCCCCGATCGTTGGTCATGCGCGGGCACGGCTAAATCACGAGATAATCCAAAGGAAATCCGCTCGAAGTGCGAATTTATAGCCCATCGCGACTTTTGCCGCCCCGAAGCTGAAATTACGCAGTGTGCGTACACGTACATATTATAGACACAGGTTGGGTGGTGTAAAAAAAAAAAAAAAAAAAAAAAAAAAAAAAGAAAAAAATATTAGCNGTCGATGCAGTAAAAACGCCCAGTTGCATGCACTCCATTCCGCCCTCCCCCCCAAAAAAAAGCTCTACGTCAATTGATCCTCCGCTCCACCCCGTGACAAAAAAAAAAAAAAAAAAAAAAAAAAAACTCAAACTACACCTTGCGTTGCTTAAATAAACGACCAACTCGTATACATAACGTTGTTATGGAGGGCGCGCGTGTGTTTAAAGTTACGGTGGAGCAAAGTTGGGGGGGGGGGGGGAGTTTGCAAAGTAACCGATGCCTCGCACCGGAAGCGAGGAGAAAGAAAGGGCAGATGAAATTTTCAAGTCGACACGCGCGTGCAAAGTGTTTATTTATTTATTTGGGCTACTGCCGCTGTTACTGCTTCCCTTTTGTTTGCCATTTTTTGTTTGTTTTGTATTTTATACGCCAACAGCGGAACAGAGGTACTATTTTTCTTGTGCTTTTTTCCCCCCACAGATGCAGCCTCCCTGCACGACTCCTCTGGGATTTCGAGGATGAGATACACGTTTGCGTACGTTGTCTGAGTTTTTTTTTGTTGATTTTTGACGATCCTCGAGCGTCATATTTTTATTAAAGTACACCCAGGAAAATATAATCACACCTCGAGACTCTCCCACAACTCGGACTCCTGGAGGTTCTGATTAACTGATGCTATCATATTTCCCACTAAAAGTTTCACTCGTGGGCTTTTTAAAGCAGGGAAAAAGCGCGCCTAATCTGATCGAATGCATTCCTCAAACGGGAGCTTTGCATTTCGAGGGTAACGTAAGACCTCTTCTAGTGAAATTCCAAAGCGAGCGAATGGCATACCAAGTCAACGAATCGACACACACCTCGGGGCATCGTGTGCGCTTTTCATCGCACTCGCCACTCGAAAGGAGCCAACTACCCCCGCGAGGGCTTGCCCTGCGTGTAATTCACACCCTCCGCGTGGCTTTCAACTCTTTAATACAGCCTCCACCTTTGCAAAGTGCCTCGGGGCCAATTGCGCTCCGTCCGGCCGATCCGCACTTTTGCTGTGCACGCTCCCCTCCAATTACCCCCATAATCGAGCTCGAGGCAGCCTCTCAATTACGCCGGGTATGTGGCGCCGTCTGAATGGGTGAATCGTTGTTTTGCGCCCGTGACTATATTTTACTTTTTATTTTTTTTTTTTCGAATGGAATTCACGAGCTCGATTTTTAGTCGATCCACGCGTGCGTACGTATATAAGGTTGTCGAAGCAACCGAGGGAAGACAATTCCCGTCCCAAAGGGACGCAATTTCATGACATCGAGACCTAGTTCGGCAAAACGGGGCGGGGGTGGGGGAGTAGGGGCCAAGTGTAATTACTCGAAGGTATGGCAAAAAAAAAAAAAAAAAAAAAAAAAAGAGTATAAGGAGGAAAGGGGGAAAAAAACCAAACTCACCCGCTCGATGTGCCCGGCACTGACGACTTCGGGCGTGTTGGCGCAGACCACCCTCTTGAGGCGCAGTTTGTTCAGGTGAAAGGCCGAGCCGTAGAAGTACATCAGGGCCATCGTCGTGGGGAAATAGAAGCAGCAGCACGCCAGTATCCTGAAAAATTCAAGAGCTCGCGCTCGTGTTTACACGTTTACGTCTCCCTTAACCCCCCCCCCCTTTTTTTGCGTGCGCCACGATGTATGACACACAGAGACAGTCAGAGAGGGCGTGCACATGCGGGTGCTTGGCCGAAATCTCTTTTTTTTTTTTTTTTCTTTCCGTGCCAGATAGCCGGGCCCGTTTCAGTTTCTTTGAGTGCTTTTTCGTTCCCTACTGACCCTTTGATCCCTCTCGGCTTGTTTATTTTCGCCCTGTGTGCACTACGTGACGATTTAATATTTATACCCCCGTATGTTTTGCGAATACGTAAGGGATATATACGAAACGCTCGGCACAAGTGAATCGCCGATGAATTATCGAGCGAATAAAGATTCAGTAGTGCAAGCGCGGTTTGGTCGGACGGATCCTTTTGTTTTTAAAGAACCGATGTATATCATTTGGCAGTTTCAACTCGATTACAATTAGTCTTTGGATGGTTTCACGTTTAAAAAAGAGGAAAAAAAAAAGATGTATGTTACCTAAGCGAGGCCTTGGCGAAAAAAGGCTCGCAGGCGAGGAGGCCGGTGTCGTTGAAGTAGTAGCCACCCTTGGGCAGGACGAGGCTGCCGAAAATCGCCACGCTCGCGATCCACGTAGTCGACATCATCGCCACGCAGCCCTGCCGCATGCAGTATTGCTGTGAACATAAAGACTAGCGAGTTGGGGACGTTTTCTTCTCAAAGTCAGACGTTAAAACGATGTGCACGTCTTACTGGACTCGGATTATTCTACTGAAAAATTTATTGCGAAAACATCATCATAGTATCATGGCGTATCTTACTGTGATAATATAAAAAAATACTTTTTCACATGAAATGACTTTTCTTGGTATACATATCAGAGTACAGGCGTGGACGCGTTAAAGAAAAAAAAAATATCACGTCCAACTAAGACGGATATTAACTAAATCAGACAACGATTGCTCGTGTGTAGTATAAAATCATCAAGTACAACCACAATAAGCCTATCAGGGTTGATGTGTTTTTTAACAAGTTGCACAGATGGCGTGTGGACGAAACGTGCTTTTAAATAGTCGCGAAAGCCAATTGCCATTGGGAAATAAATCCTTCGGTCGCAGGCCGATGCGTCATCGTCAATAAGCACCTTAACGAAAGCAAAGCGAGACTATTAATCACAGCAATAAATCAAACCAAAGAGAAACCGAGGACCAAAACTCGTGGAGAGGAAAAAAAGGAGGTCGCGAATCGATGGGGGGAAGAAAAACAAATGAAATCGATATTATCTCGCGCGAGGAGCTTTGCGGTGTTTTCTCCCTGACCAAGGGAGCTTTTATCTCTGCTGGGGAAGGGCGAGAGGGCGATTATCTCGTTGCCGAGGAGTACACGATTGGACTGCGGGGCGCAGTCTTTTCTCGAGTTTCATTTTGTGGGAAAAGTTCTCGCGCAGCACGGTCGACCGATTATTTTCATTACGCGGACCATGTGGGTGCTCCAATACCCCTTTTTTTGACGATGATTGGGTGATGAAGGCAGTGGTGGCACTAGTTTTTAGTCCCAAAAAGTTCTGAATGGCTTTACGTGTTTGCAGTTCACTTAATGGGATTCGAGCTTATTTCATGATGCGTTCACTGCTTGCGGACGCTTTTGTTGTTGCAATAAAAAAATGTAAAAATAATTATAAGTTGGACATACACTGCCAATCATCACTACAAAGAGTATTTTATATAAGTCTACTTAGGAAGCTTAAATTATCTCAATCATATAAATATCTGAGTTGGAATTGTCAACGAGTGAGAGTAGATGATAATAGATTGAGGCTTGAGCACAGTACTGCTGCATAGAAAGCACGTAATTCTGCTATCTGAGCCATACGACTGAATGGAAGTGTGAATGTAATTCGTAAATATGAATTACAAGTAAGGATTGGGTTCTCTGTTTTCAAGTAAAAAATAATCAATCAACAGTAATTAGCATTGTAGAAGAAGAGAAAACGAAATGTTGGCGTAACTGAAAAAAAAAATTTTTTAAAAGAAAAGAGATCAGTAGTCCGCATGGACGGCCCGTGTAAAGAGGAGGGAGGTAAAAGAAGAGGAATCCTGATGAATCGCTGAGTCGAGCGTTTCCGCAATGAGCAGCCGCGGCTAGACGAGGCCAATTTCTTTCTCGGGGTTCTCCATTTTTCGCGAGTCTCGCTCGTTTTTGGCTGAACGGCACGATTTTCAATTGTCGTTTCCCTTTCCGTCGATTATCTCGATTCACGCGTAATTACGTGAGATTTCTGGAGAAAATTGAATCAATTTCAAACGAGTTGATCATTGAATTTTCGGCAGTAGATGCAGGCAAGATACAGTCAGACACTCATTTACGATTCCTTTCATCTTGCATGCGACAAATATATGAAAACACTACAAACGTATGACAGTGAGCGTTTGAAGTTTTAGGATGAAATAAAATCTGACCTCAGTATGCACAAAAAATTGACAAATAATTTTCATCTGGAACACTTTTTTTTTGTACAGTATATTTCTTAGAGTCCTAATTCGAGAGCGTCAACTAAAATTCGTTCAATATCTATCTGAGTAAAATCTAATTTCCCAGCAAATAATTACTAGTTTGTGCAACAAAGTGAATCGTTTGAGTAATTATGACACATACTCTACACACTGTTTCGCCATCAATGCGCACGTACGTAATTCCTGCCTTTGATTAAAATAACTTTGTATACTAACATTTTTCGTGCGTTCAAAGGATACAATCTATCGTTTGATGTAATGTCATTGAAAATTTTGCCAATAAAAACAAAACTTGCTCACTTGTTCGCGAAATGAAAACCGTAGTTATTTCGTACCTTCGAAAAAATATGCCCCCTCTTCCCGTGTTTTCATCCCACCCCATTCTCATCTAGCCTTTGAGGATCGTAAAATTGAATTTAGCGCTAGCAAATACAATTTACTTCGGCACCGGTGCCGAGCGCCTCGATAGTATTTTCCTTTTCAGGTGTATTTTCGATATTTCTAATAAAATTGAAACAGAGGCGCACAAATTGCCCCCCTTGCTCGCTCAGCCCCGATAATTAATCGGAATTAGAGTCGAAACAATTATCGGCCATCGGAAAGAAGGTCGTGCCCCCGTAGCCTTTGGCCGAATTGAATCGTTAGCTTGACAATGGGCGACCTCTCAAGCTCGCTTGTGTGTGCAGCTCGAATTTTTCATTAACAGGATGAAAATGCCTGGGCAAGGGGTATTGTTATTTTCGCGCACAAATTTAACGTTCAGTGGCCGAGTTACAAGGGAACGAGGGATAGAGTTTTCGATTTAGTCTCTATCGTGCTTACGCAAACAAACTCCGTGAAAAACGCGTGTCAAGTTAACCGAGGGGAAAGATTAAATTTCGCGCGCGGCGATTTTGGATCATTTTTCAGGGGGATGTATGCAACTTTTCACTCCAGCCACCTGGAATCCATTTTCCCTTTATTTCCCCTCCGCGTTTCGACCGATCGAAGACGACATGGATGGTCGAGTTTCTTCACCCTTCACTTTGGAATTCCTCAAAAAACGGGCTTTTCACTGAAAGCCTTTTTTCCAACTTTATCGTTCATGGTTTTCTCACGCATAACAATTGTCACCTGTGCACATGACATCATTTTTAATAGCAAGTATTTGACTCCGAACGGAGTCTATTGGTGATGTAACTTATCTCCTTCACCGCAGACTCCGAGAAACAAATGGTCTTCCACTCGATTTATTCTTTTCGAGTCAGTGTCATCGTTTATTCTGACGGATAATCTCCCTGTCTCTCTTTCCCTGCAAAAACAGAGTCTCTCCTGTCAATAAACTAAATTCCAACCAACAGCGGTGACTGGCGCTCGACGCGAGCTAATGAGTCGCGATGAGAGGCGGGGCTTTGGTGAAAATTGCATCGGACGTCTTTCCATCCCTCCGCTCCCTTCCTCTTTTGTTTTTCGAACCAAGTGGATTTTGCAGAAGGCGGACGTTATCGCGTCTATATTTCAGCAAGGGAGTTTTAATCTTTTTTTCTATCTATTTTTTCTCCTTTTTTACGCTTAAAAGAGGGGCCAAGTTAAATTTTTTTTCCTGCATTTTGAAGAAAAAGTATTGAAGGTATGTTGAGTTGTTTAAGGAAATTTGGTAAGGAAATGCAGGAAAAATAAGGTGAGGTTTTAGTAGAAAAGAACGATCATGATCAGACGAAGTTTCAGGAGTTTGTATAAAAAGTTTTTCTGAATAATGAATGCTCGGGAAGTTGAAATTAAAGGTACGATGATCTGTACAAAATAAGAGGTCAATGTATCAGTAGATAAATACGAGTACGGTCAGACATACGTTTCTCTAAAGACTACCGTTTAAAAGTAAGTATAAGTTGTGAGGAAGTAGTAATCAAAGTTACGGTGGGTTAAATCAAAATAGGTCAATGTATAAGTAGTAAAGCACGAGTATGGTCAGACAAGAGTTTCTCTGAACGGTACGGTTTTGGAGTTTGTATAAAAAATTGTTTTGAAAAAATGAAGGCTGAGAAAGTGAAAATCAAAGGTGTAATGAACTGAACAAAATAGGTCAATGTATCAGTAGAAATATCCGAGTATGGTCAGACTTACGTTTCTCTAAAGACTATTGTTAAGAAGTTTGTATAAGAAATCATCTGAGAAAATGATGGCTGAGAAAGTGTAACTGTACGATGGGTTGAATAAAATCAAGAGGTCAAGGTAGCAGTAGTATAAAACGAGTATAGTCAGACAAGCTATTTTTCAAAGCTACAAACGATTTATCATTATACATCCTGTGCCTCCAAGTTACCGTAAGCCATAAAATAAATTTTATAGACACCCAAACTCCGTACTATGTTCTCACTAGTTCACTGTTTAACTTGACTTTATGCCGATTCGCGAAAAGTTGATTGAAATGTCCATTATGCAGCGCGTACTCCATTTATCCGTAAACTCAGAACGCCTGGGGGGGCTTCATGAAAATTTTATCTGCTACGCATCAATCGCGCGCGAATAACAGTTTTGGCCATAAGAGAAAAACAGGGATCGGTGAGATATTTATACGCCTACCGAGCTTGGAAATGATTGATCAATAGTTTTGCGAATCACCAGCTCGAACACTGGATGGTTATTTGACTGTTGTCGTGACAAAAAAAAAAAAAAAAAAAAAAAAAAACTCAAACTACACGTTAATTTCCAATGATCCGCGTACGTCACGAGCGAGTGACCTATGGTGAAATTTGGTTGTATCGGTTGAAAGCAAGGAATATATAAATAATAAACTCGAGCACTTTCGCCAGCGCCGAGAACAAAGCGCGCGAAAACGGCCGCGAGCGTCGGTCTCGATGGATGCGCCCATCGGAAATCGACTGCTCGTCAACATTGTATTGTGAAAAAGGAAAAAAAAAAAAATAAACAGCCGGACGGACGTATGAAAAAAAAAGTTGAGCTTACCTTTTTCGAGGACTGTCTGTGATAGCGATGCGGGTGCAGCATGCATATGTATCGGTCGATCGCCATGCAGACGAGGATGACGGCGCTCTGTTGGGTCAGTGCTCCGCGCAGCAGCGCCTGAAACACACACACGGATCATTTCGACTCTTATTTACTAATTAATTAAAGTTAATTTTTATTGCTTCGACAAGCGTGTGTTAATTGGATGTTGTATCGCGGGGGACGCTGTTGGGTAAAATTACGGGGCAGGGAGGCTTATACGGTTCGATGTGTAATTTGTCGAGTGCGTTTAACATCGAAGGGGAGGATATGTGTTTGTTCGGACGAGAGCGGGTGCGATTAAATTTGAAATTCGTCCCGTCGGGGATGGGAGGGGAGCCACTTTGGGGTTATTAAATTGTATTTGGGCGAGTTGTCGCTTCTGTTTTTAAAACTCCGGGAGCACGTGAATTTACGATCGTAGACATTGGGATTGGTGTACGCTGTAAATCAAGGATAAACTTGATGAAATGATGATGAAAAATTTTATGTCGAAAATTCCGGCTGTGGGTGAACATTTCGAAACGCGATTTATGGTTTTTTACTCGTAGCGATTTATGGACGACCGAAATCCAAGTTTAAGTATAGTTTTCAGGAATACATTGTCGTTGCCGTAGATGCGATGCGGTTGGCATTTCGAGAGCACATTTTCGATCTGTGTTTGGAAATGTCGATCGTTCCACTTATGCCGAGGTGGTTTCTAATGGATACGCTTGGCGTTGGGGACGGACGATTGATTTTTCATTTAGGAAATTGGGGCCGTTTGTCAATTTTCAGATGATGACGAGATCGAGCTTGCGTTTTCCGCGAAAAAAAGGTAATCCCACCGAGACATGCCTCATCATGTGATGTATAACATTTTTACATCAATTAGTTAGCTTGTGGGTATGGGGCCATGCGTTTGCTTCAAACGATGAACTCCAATAAATCCCTTATTTTTCAGACATGTCTATCAAACGAATCAAATTATCGGACACGCGAAGTATGGTGCAACAATGAATCCCATGCACACATTTCCGGATGACTGAACTCTCGAATATCCGAACAATATTTTATTCGCTTCAATCATACGTACAGCAAAAAGTTCATTTTCATACAATATTGAATTCCAAACTCTTATCGCCAGCTCGATGATAAATGAGAATCGAAAAGGGACACGCGTAGGTTATTTCCCACTTTTAAAACAGTACAATCTGTATTATTCTAATGTTATAAACGTTTACCGGCGAGGCGATGGTCCATTTCCTCTCGAGTGTACCTTAGTAAGAAAAAGTGCCACTTTTTTTTTTTTTTTTTTACATATATATAATTTTATCTTCAGTTGACAGAAACAAAAAAAACTTTTTAAAACCTTACATCAAATGAACGCACACAACGCACCGTACTTTCGACTAGCGAGAACCATTAAAAAATCTTAAAGATGAAAAAGCCCAGTCTAATGCAAGAGCTTTAGCCCAACAGCGTGAAAACAGCAAACTCACCCTTGGAAAACAAAACCTTAACGAACAACGCTCGAGCTGTTCGTGAAAAAAAAAAAAAAAAAAATTATAATAACCATCCTTCCTCCCGGTAAAAAGCTCCGCGAGCATGAGGGTGAAAAAAAAAGAAAAAAATCACCGTAAGAGTAACAATTACCACATACGCCCGTGTTCCCGAAAGCTTTCCCAGCCATCTCAAACGAGCCTCCCTTTGCCCGTTTTACACAGAAGCTTATTCCACGCCCGTGTACGGGATAATTTGAATATTTCGAGAGCGTGTTCGTACGGAAATGCCAGAGGCTTTTCGAAATTGCGCGTATAGGTGCGCTCGCGGGTCCTTTGGCTTCGCTTCCTGTCTGCGGGCTCGTGTGGCTGATTGTGCGCTCTCGCGAGCCACGACTGCTTGTTTCGAGGAGCCATTTGGAATACCTTGTTTTGTTTGGTAAACGCAGGAAACCTTTGTACTTTTCACACAAGTCCGCGGTTCTCGTTCGACTTTTATTACCTTTGCGGTCGAAAATTTCCACTCGAACGCCAATGATAGCCAACAGCTCGCCACTCCAACCAATGAGACAGACTTTTTACCCCCACCCTCCCGCGGTGGGAAATGCAAAATGAGCTTCCGAATGTGCTTTCGACTCGCATTACAAATGAAAAACATCGAGATACTCGTTATTGTAGCCGAATGAGGGTGCGCGCCGCAACAAACTTTCGAGCGCTGGAAATTAAATGGATTTTCGAAATTGCGCTCTCCGGGGGAAGTAATTTAACTTGGGGAGTCGAGCAAAGTCTGTAATTTCGCGCCAATTAGCATGAATATGATACTTTTTCTCGTTAATGATAGAAGGCAAGAGCGAGCTTGAATTAAAATAATGCGAAAATCAAGGAGTAACGAGCAGGTATATAATATGTAAGAGAAGCGCACGATCGAGAGGCAGTTTTAATTACCGAAGCGTGGTCTTATCGAGCTTCGGATGAGCCCGTCTGAGCGTATCCGGGCTGTTCTACTCGCGTACACTGTCGCCAATCATTATTTTACATAGTTTTCATCGAATCATCAACGTGAATACCAGAGCATGCACGAGGTGTTTTCGCGTATACCTACAATTTTTTCCCTCGACATTTCAGGATACAGTACAGATCGCAGTATGTATAATTTTCGCGTGAAGCGCACCCTCGGCTCATTACAATAAACTCAACTGTGTAGTGTACACGTGTGTGTATAACATCCACTGTATAGACGTGTCGAGCGAGGTCGGTTACTATGGCGATGGCCATTGGCGGCTGGCCAGGAAAAAGCTCGGATGGCACGCGTGGGAAAACGCTCGCGCCAGGATCTCTCACCGATGCCCTGGTTCTCTAGTCGTCGCCGTATCGTTTGCAGGGAGGAAGACCTTCACCCGGTTCGCACACAACATCCCGGAGGTTTTCGCGCTCATGTAAATATTGGTCCTTTTTTTTTTCGGGTGGTGGGGGGCCATGGGAGCTGTTGCGAAATCTCTGACTGAGGAAAACGATTCAAAAAAGTTCCTCTTGAGCGGTATCCACTTACGAGTATAGACTCGAGTCATCTGCAGTCTCAAGAGCGAGAAAAAAAAAAAAAAAAAAAACCCACCCTTGGTAATTGATTTACTTTCACACGATCGACTGTTTATCCACTTCCTTATCGTTCCGCAGTCGGTGATGGAGTGTACACACGTAGCACCGCGCTATCGTTCGGATTACCATATATATAATTTTCGCAATTACGGGACCCACACACACACGCGCGCGCGCGCGTGCCATTGATGCTTTATCGCCTCCCGACCCCAACAGAGCCTCAGCGATGGAGAGCACGTAAACGCCGAGAGTCGATTTGAAAAACTGCCAAGTGGTGGCTGTTTACCCCCCCCCCCTTCCTCGTTTTCGTTTGAGTACATGCACACACACAGAGGCCACTCCAGGCAAAACGTGCGCGGACCAATTTCGTGGCCGATGCGACACAGCCAGCCCGAGCCAAGTGCAAAACTATAGGGACAAGGTGTACGCGTGCCGCTCGAATTCACGGCCAAAGCGATCTTTGCTGTTACGTGTCGTGGGTAGGTATACTTTAATTCATCGCTCTACTGGCACGAGAGACGTTTGGGCCTTGAATCGTGTGCCTGTGTACTATTTGTTACAAAATCAGAATAAAAGCAGTCAAGTCTCTTCGGTCCGGCCCACCTGAGCACCGTAGTCCTCACCACGTCACGTAGCGGTGTATTGACCTTGGCTCTCGCGTGTCGAGTAGGAGCGGGGGGTTAAAGAAAACGTCCACTTCGGCACGAGTCCCCGATCGGATAGCGCTGGGGGTGGTTTTTTTTTTTTTTTTTTCCTTCCGTCCTCCTTCTCCTCTGCTAGAAAACGCTTCCGAGAGGGCTCTCGTCGATGCATCGAACTCCCACGACGTTTCGGGCCGAATTTGATTTACGAGCCGCTCCCCTTGCCTCCCCGCCCCACGTTGAATTTGTTTCGACGTTTGATGCATCGGTTGTTGTGTGGGTTTTTTCTTTCCCTCTCCCTTGTACCCTGTTGCCTTGGGATGAAAAATGTTGCATCCCTCATCCACGAGGATGTACTCGGATGTGTATATGGAGCGTAGCGCGGTTTACTTCTCAGTTCCCTCGAGGGCAAAAAAATAACTATCGCGCAACCAGTCCCTTACTTATTTTCAGGGGGGGAGAGACAAAATGAAAGAGCAGGGAGTCCTTCGAGGGCACATTGGAACGCGTTCGTAATTGTATGGGGAGAAAAAAACTCACTCGCGATTCGGAGGGACGAAATGGAGGATCATCCATCGGTGGTGGAAATAGAAGCGACTCAACCTCCTTCCTGCATTATTGAAAGCCCCAATAACTCGTCCTCCTTTTCTGCCTCTCTCTCTCTCTCTGTCTCTTCAGCGAACGGGACACGAGGACACTGTGCCGTATGCACAGCGGGTCTCTGAGTTACGTCGCGGTGGAAAATTTATGTGGAAACTTGGAGTGCCGCCGAGCTGCTATATACACTCGCACCAAAAGGCGAACGCGTACAAAAACTCGGTACAGCAAGTGGGTACGTGTATTTTAGGTACCACGTAACTTTGGGTGGTAATTTTTTTCTTTTTCGTCCTACTTCCCTTCTTCAATAGCCATCCGACACGAGACATGACAAGTATATCTCGTTGCGATGACCACTAGCTCCGAGCCAACGCCACCTAAATCACGGGAATTCTTCGAGCTCGCTCTCAATCCCCGATTGGGGGAGAAAAAAAGATCGCCACCGCCAAATAATCCTCGACAGGTTTTTAGTCCCTGATACGAACGACATCATCCTCGTGTAGACGGAAGGAAGTAGACGAGTTCTCCACATTAAAATAATGGATCAAGACGGGGATGAGATGACCGCGTGGGTAACATACATCCATGTCTCTTTCTCCAGCTCATCCGTGACCCCCCGGAGGTGGGTGGTGGTGGTGGGGACAGGTGCAGAAATCGAGAAATGAGTATATAGAGTGCACGGGGAGGGTCACGGGCTCGAGCTCAGCGCGCCACAAATCAGGGGCCGCATCGGAGACGGTGAGGGTGAGGTGGGGTCCGGGGGACGGCCGAGATTATCGCCAGGAACTCGATAACGCGCTCCAACCGGAAGTGGCCCGAGCACCTGACGGCAATTTCCGACCGAGCGCTATCTCCCTCCTGACGATTTGCTGGCTGGGGGGTGGCTGAGAGGTAAGGAAGGGAGGTACTCCAAGAATATTAGAAAGACGAGGCAAAGAGAGGAGCGGCCCGACCTGGCGCGACTGTTTTACTTTCAACGCGTAAAATATGATTTTACAGAAGTACACGATAGCGTTGAGTAACTCGTGAAACGGCGCGGAGGATAAGTGATTCAATTGAAACGGGGCGACGGGGAGGTGGAGGGAAACAAAAGAATTATGTAAAACACGTCGAGTACAGCCTCGCGGTTGAAGGGAAAGATGGGAAGAAGGAAAAAAAAAAGAGGAGCGAGAGAATGTGACAGAGCCACGTACCGTGGGGAGATTGAGCGATCGCGCCGGCGATGGGGATACGATGGAAAACCGAACGAGAGGAAGGAGAAAAGGGGGGGGGGTAAAGAAATACCGACGGAAGGAAAAATTCAAGGAGGGACGGGCTCGTTCGCGAACGGACAAGATGAAATTGTCGGTCCGGCCCATTAGCCCCAATGAAGGAGTTATCGGCGAGAGGGAGTTAACTAGACGCTCCCTGCCGATGTCACCGCGGTGACGGGATTGAATTAAGCTTTCTCTTTTTTCTCCCCCACCCCTTCCTTCCAAGTTGAAATTCTTGCAGCCACTTTCTGCCGTTTTTTCTCTCTCCCACCTGATATTGGAAAGCAGCTTTTACCCAGAGTGGAGTACCTCGAGACCAACACTTTGCCACAAGGAGGAAGTTTGTCCCCTTTGGGGGGTTGTTTGTGCATTCGGGCTCGCGAAACGAAAATTTCATTCACAGCGCGCTTTTTTTTCACTCACCTCGGCAGCTCTCGCTTATACCCGTCGTTATTCAACGATTCGGAGCCACAATTACCAAAGCCCCCAACTCAAACACGTCCTCTCGCCGCAACTTTGCTACCCAGGTGCATGTACACATACAGCGTACAAAACTTCTGTGCGTCTTTTTCATTAGCGTAGCCGGTGGCAACTGTACACGTGTACGTATATGTAGCAAGCGACGAACAAAAGTCGAGAGGAGTAAAAATGTGATATATTCCGCTGAGCGAAGCGTTTCCGGTGTCGCAAGGTTTTACACGGGTCGCTAGGTGTGTGAAATGTGCACATACATACCTGGATCTGACAGACGACCTCGCCGAAAGGCCAGCAGCTGTAGATGGCGGGGACGAAGCCGAACGGCGTGACCAGCAGCCCGATCGCAAGGTCGTTGCTCGCGAGGCTCGTCAAGAGGTACCGAGGCTGCCGTGGAACAGACAAATTTACAAGTGTCATTTTTGTTTTGTTTTGTTTTGTTTTGTTTTATCGAGGGAGTAACTAATACTAAATACTTTTTATCATTTGGTTACCACCACCCACGTCTCTATACGTGATGATGGCGAAGCGTAGCGGCTTTGACGTTTTGGTACCTAATTGTAATTAAAACTTGGGCCTCGGCGTCGAATGGAGGTACACGCGAGCAAAGTAAAGAGCCAACGCGCGAGAGCAGCGTCTTTGCACTCGCGGCAAATAAGTGTACACGAGAGGGTGTACACCATACCTCTTCAATGGGATAAATTTCGCTTCCGAGGAGCGGATGTATAGTTACTTCGCTCGCGTGTTTTGTACCAAAAGCGTGGGTACGTGTCTAACGAGTGGTTTTTCCAAGGGACGACGAGGCAAAATCTCGGGGGTAATTAACACAAAGTTGTATAATAGATAGACGAAAAAAAGGAAGTAAAAGAAAAAAGCAAAATGCGAGAGAAGACGCGCAAAGTGCCTCGAAAGGGGCCTTTGTACCGCGCGCGACACGACGCAAGTTAGTTGCTCCGATTAATATTTCCCTGGAAGTTTCTCCCCTATATGCTACACACGCACTTTACTTGGAGTTGGATCGCGACTCGTGCATTATTTTCGGTGCGTTTGGAAATTCTTGTCGTCCCTTCGTTTCTTGGGATTTTGTGTTACGTACGAAGCCGAGATGTTATTTTAATGAAATTCTGTAGGAGGTAAAATTAGAGCAGCACCAAAAAATTGCGTGCCATTTGACCCGTGGTAGCGGACAATTTAAAATATCCATTTAGCGGTCGAGGAAACTCCAAATCAAGGAGATCTAGAGAGAACGACGGTGTCGAGAGTTTTAGCTTAAAGCAGAGGCCCGGTAATCGTGTGATTTTGGCGTTATTATTTCCGTGAGCGCTCCCGGCACCATCCGATGCTAATGAACTCGTTTGCGGGCGTGAACCTACAGCGCACAAGCTATGACGATCCTCCGTCAAAGTTTGCTTTTGTCATGAAAAAGAAAAAAAAAAAAAAAAAAAAAAAAAAAAAAAATTAACAATCGAACGAAAAGCTGATTTGTCGCGTGTAATTAATTCACGCGTTATCCTACGTCCAACGGAGAACAAACGAATCTCCGGTTTCCCGCGTCCTGCGGGGCGAAAAAAAAAGGATAAATTTCGATTCGCAATTACCGGAGCGGTCGAGTTAAACCAACCGGCTTATCCTTGCCTACACCCTCGAGTTGACGATCGTTTACGTGACTGTTTTCCAGCTCTGTATGTGCAAACCCACACGTGGGAAATGAAGCGGGGGCATATTTTCGAGCTCCAGACGAGCGACAATTAATCTCGGCCGTTCGCGCACTTTTTTTCCCGCCCCTCCACCGGCGAGGGAGCCTCGTTAAGCTCCTCGAGCAAACAGCAACCCCCTTCCCCCGATATGCGATGGGAATTTTGCAAATTTTTCTTTTTGTTTAAATCACACGAGCACCCAACGGCGCAAAAATCGAGGGTGTGTTCTACGTGGGGTGAGGGAAAAAAAAAAAAAGGTATAGGTACACAACCTGCGCGTGTATGTGCTTGTGGTAGCGCCGGCTGTTGATGACGCAAATGACGAGCAAATTGGCCCCAAGTATGCCGAGGCTGAGGGCCAGTATGAGCCCAGCACGTAGGACCTCACCGAAGCCGGGCTGCTGCCAGCGCGCCTCGAAGCCGCCGCCCGGCAGGCTGCGCCAGCAGCTGCTGTTGCTCAGCGCCGGCGCCACCAGGATCTGCGGCTTGTGATCTATCATCCTCCCAGGGCCATGAGCCGCGCTCGAGCCGCCCTCGCCCTATTCTTCTCGGCCAAAGACTTTGGCTTTGTGCGCCCGATCTCGCTTGTCTTCGATAACAGGGACGGGGTGTCATACACTGCCACCGCCTGATGGACCACCACCGCGTGCGACGACTCGGCCGAGCTGTCAACGCCCAGGCTTGAGCGCATCGTCAATACTCCTGAAAAATGAGAAAATTCAATTCTGCTCGTAGGTGGGAAAAACATCCTCCTTGCGTGTGATTTCAATAGAAGGGAAAGGGCGAGCCGAACAAAAAATAAGTAAAAGCGATAGTGCATAGGTGTAGGTACTCGCTCTTTCCTGAATATACAACTAAAAAATAAAAAATAGTACTTGCGACATAGGAATGGTACTCACCAAAGTGCAGGTAGTGCAGTCTTTTTTTTCCCCTCTTTCTCTTTGTTTTGCTCCTCTCACCTCATATTTTCTCTCCTAACGGCTGGCCTTTGGGGTTAACGGTGAAAGAGCTCGAGGACTCGCTGACCGTCCGGCCTTTCTCCGCCACCACGGCTGAGCAAGAAAAGTGTCACTCCTCCTGCAGCGCGGCATCTGGCCGCTTGTGTTTACGATCTGCAAAGTTATAGGGAACGCTTGAGATTGGAACTGCCGCGTCTGACCATACGTAGGGTCATACTACTTGGCGCTGTCAAACCTTTTGCAACTGGACTAAACGTTACATTTTAGCTCTCAATGAAATTGTACTGATCCGAACTGCACAAATATTTCATCTGTTATTAATTTTCTCGATGTGCACCAGTGCCTATATTGTCTAATTTCACGCTTGAGATCGGAACTGCCGCGTCTGACCACACGGAGGGTCGTACTACCTGACGCTGCCAAACCCTTTGCAACTGGACTAAACGTTACAAAATTGTACAGATAATTTATCTGAAATTAATTTTCACGCTGGAAACCAAGACTACGCTTCGTCAGGTGGTTGGAGGAAAAAAAAAACCCCGTATAGTTACCCCCGCGTTAGAAGCGCCGTTATTGCGTTTCACGAGAAAAACAGCCAGCCCTTTTTCCTCTCTCTCCCTCTGCTGTATACGTACCGAAGAACCCACGAAAAGCCCACGTACTCGCGAGAATGATCGTTCCCAGCTGCGGCTATTAACCGAATCGGTAAAAGAAAAGAAATGGCTTCGCGAGCTCGCGCTTCGAGCACACGTGCACGCACGCCCGTTATACGCACGTACACGTAGGTGGAAAAATCGAGCGCGCACGTGCGACGACTTGAGCTAACCCCGTGGGTACATGTACAGGTATGCAGGTGTACGAGACCCGCATATAACGAGATAGAATGAGAGAAAACGATAACGAGGCGCTGAAAAGAGGGCTTTGGACCAAAAGAAGAGAGGACGTGTAATTGACGCGCCGTGGGGCAGGGGATACGAGTGTAACTTACGGTATCTCATCGCACCTCTCGTAGACTTAATCAATCGCCTCGACTTTTTTTTCGACCCCTCCACATTTTCTTTTCTTCCTCGTGCCCCCGGCTCGTTATAATTTTACATAGGAGGCTCTCCGTCTTCCTCCCTCTTTCGACCTCGGCGAATTGCGATTTAACGAGGACTCGAGAATTTAATTGGACAACGAGATCTGGCCTATGCACGTGTCGATCCGTTCATTATGTGGGCTCTCGTTGCGACGAGTACTCGTACACTCGCAGTCTCCGCGTTGGGTGTACAGCACGGGGATGATGATGATGATATCGGATAAACGATTGTGCTTTATCGCCACGAGGGGGGAGAGCACGAAAACATTACCTAGATTTTCTTGGAGTCCGGTTTGCGCGCTTGACTCTAAACTGGATCGGAGTAGGATTTACGGGGAGGACTTTTATCCCCACGGGAAAACAGAGCCCCTCATCGGTACGTATATTCGCCACCATTGACGGCTCGTAACAAATCGGGTTGAACGATCAAAAAAGGATCCCCGGTCCCGCTGTAAATAACAAAGTAAGCTCTCGCGGTAAAACGACTCCTTAGCGGCATTTTCGAGCTCCCACCTGGGATACCTACGACGGGGTGAGAAAAAAAAAATAGATTCGAAATTGCAATCGAATAAACAAAGGGAGTCTCTGGACCGGTGGGGGCGTCGTATGATGGTTAATAAGAGAAAAACAAAGGACGATGAGGTCAAAATCCAAACGTTGGAAAAATATTTTGAATTCATGCACAACAGAGGGAGGGCTGTAAAGTGTGCGTGACCAGAAAAAAAAGAAAGAAAGAGGTAAAGGATAATTCCACGGACTGAAGAGACAAGTGGAGTGGGTGCTAGGATGAAGACGGCGGTGAGGGACGGAGAGGGAGACTCGGAGTATAATGGCGCCGAGGCCGAGGAGAGATTAAGTTCGCGGGACGTTATTGCCGTGGTTAAGCGCATGACAAATCACTAGGTCGTGTCGGGCTTTTGGGCGTTTTGCAATCGGAGAGGAATTATACATCCGCGGATGGGGTTGTGGATTTATGTTTCTTTGGTACAGGACTCGGCTGTTTTTATTCATTCATTCTTTCATTTTTTTTTTTTTTTTTTCACAAATTCTGTTTAGCACTGTTGGTACACAACAGCGTGGGAGTACGGAAGCTGATCTTGTTTTAGATATGGATGATGTTATCTGTTTCGGAGGATAATGGCGTCGCACGCGCATCGATTTCGGGGTTAAATGGGCAGATTAAATCGAGCGACCCCTTTGGACATTGTATTTGGCCGTTTTATGATTGTTTACTGTATATTGTTTGCTACATCTGTACAGTTGTACGACCGTGTCGTAGAAGTATACCTGACATTTTTTTTAAGCCATAATTTACTAAAAATGGAAGGAAAAAAAAAGCCAATTTTTTTCACGCTAGTACACCGGAAAAAGCTGCATAACACGGATACAATGATGGGTTTCCTTTGAGAGATGGGTGCAACGCTGCTGCAGATAGAGAGAGGCGAGGAAAGAAGAGCCAAAGCCTCGGTGAATCAGGTGGTAATACCCACTCGTCTCGACGTGGGTTAAGCCGGTTGTACGATTTAAGAAGCTCGCAAGACACTCGAGACTCCCTCCTACATGCACCCACGTATATACGCCGAGTAAACGTAGCAGCAAACCGGGATAGACTTTTTCTATTTATTTTCCGCAAAGTTGAAGGTTTCGTTATTTAATTTGCATAAAAATTTTTGGGATGAAATAAAAACTGCATTCATTCTTCTAAAATGATTCACTTTGGCGCGCAAGTGCAAAAAAATCAGGCATAGAGTCAAAGCTTCACAATAGCGCACGACACACATACACACACAAAGAGATGGAGGCCGTTCTTTCGACAAGAGGCTCTTCTGCCCCCGGGAGACCTGAGAACGTGGGGCGATAAGGCACGTCCTCCCTCCTCGCCCAACCACTGTCCAATGGCCGCGTTGAAATTCATCGTCCCCAATTGATGTATACACGTGTATGTATACATTTAAGTCGCAAAGAGTAAATTCGCATTACTTTTCAAACAGCTTGCCCAACAACAAAATTAACGAGCAGCCAAACATCTGTCTACCTTGGGCCAAAAGTACGAGCCGAGCCCGTAATTAACGACCCCCCACGGAGAGTCAAAGCTGAGCGCAAAAAGAGACGGGCAAAGTGCCGGAAGGAAGGCTCGGGGGGGGGGAAGGGTCCATGGGGGAGAGTAAACAATTTGCGGGCGCGCGAAAGACCGAAACGGCCAGGAGAAAACCAAATGCACCGGTGTGTCGGGCACTTTTTTTTTTTTTTTTTTTTTCTCTTTTACCGACTAAAATAGAACGGACGTGCACTCCGTTTGGAAGGGAAGAAGATGTATGTACACGCGCGTGTGTGTACGGGAGTCGAGGGGGAGAAAAAACTTTTGGCGCGAGGAATTTTCCGATTTGCGACTTTCCCGGGGAGTGGCAGTTTGTCATGGCACGCGCGCCTCGCCGAGTGCTTTCTAATCGCTGCCCCGTGATTTGTGCTCGGATAGTCCGAGTTTTCGGGGATTACTATTCACCACCTGGTGATGAAAAGAAAAAAAAAAAAACCACCGGCAAAGTGATAAAAGCCATTCGCGATGGGGAACTTTGCTCTCACCACACCAGCTCGAGAGTATCGCCCGCTTCATCGACTGCGCCTCCGAGTTGTAACTTTCCAAAAGGGAAAGACTCGCTCAACTTTCCACACGCACGCACGAGAGCATCACAACTCGCGAACGCACGTCCCGTTCGATTATACGCTGCCACCGAATTATTAATACGTAAATTTCGGTACGAGTAAAGAGTTGGCCGAGCTATGATTTTTCAAGAGAAGAGCCGGGCAGGGATGCGTACGCATTGTTATAGACGCGTGCAAGCCGGGAGTCCCGCCGTCACATTTTTTCCACGTTTCTCCCCTTGATAATGATAAGCGATCCCAACATGCATCACCTGTTAAGCATATGTATGGGTATACCTTCGCGGTATGCTAAGGTCTTTCCGCGCTTTTGCGGGGGTCGTGGAAAGGTCGAGGGGGTGAGAAAAAGAGAGCCGCAGAGTCGGCAAATCCGGTCGCGCGCGTGTTGTAAAGTATAAGGTCAGCGACTCTTGGGGAAGGGGATCGGTACCCACCTACCTACCTTCGGAAATAAAGACAAACCGAACGGAGCAAAGAGGAGCTATATAACGTAGGTATATACATGTATGTGTATACATACACATAAAAGGAGGTGAGAAGGTTGCCGCAGGGGGCAGCTCCTTGGGATACTTTTGCAGCTGGTGCTCCTCCCGAGATTTATACATGCCGAGGCTACCGGTGTTGCCGCCTCCGTGCAGCCGAGGCGAAATTTGACGCTGATTTATCGAAGGGTTACCCTGTCGCCATCTTTTTTTTTTTTTTTTTTTTTATGCACACGAAAAAAGAAAGGGGTTGTTTCCTACTCTGTGTCGGTTACACCTTTCGCGGACAAAGTCGAGTTAACTTTTATTCCTCTTCGTTGGAAGAGAAAACTTTTTTTGTTTCGCCTACTTCAATACACCCTCGTTGAATTGTTTAGTGATTTTTTTTTTTTTTTTTATTTCTTCTTACTTGAGGCTCCTTTTTACAGCCCGTGTCGACCGAGAGCACCGTAAGTATAACGCTGCTCCTCGGCGGGAACGACGTAATTTTCCAGGAGTATAATTTCTAGGGGATCGCGGGCGGCAAAAGAAAAGGAGAGTAGGAAAATGAGGCGAGAAGCGAGCCGAGGGTTTTCGTATGCAAACACCCGAAAGCAGTATAAAATACCTCACAGCTGCTACTGTAAATTTTTTTTTTTTTTGCTTTAATCCTTTTTTTCTTCTGTTCCGGGGTCGAGGGGGGAGGTATGTATGAACGGTGGTTACGAAGCTTCATATCTCGGGGAGGTGCTCGTTCGCGCGTCACTGAGACAAAATTTATAAGGTTTGGGTTTAAAACGTGTACTTTTTTTGATGCACGTAACGAGAGTGAATTTTTGTACAAGCATCACACGAAACGAGGCTTTGTGCGACATTTAACGGCTCGTTACAATTTAACGAAGGAGATGCTGGGTACAGTGAAATAACTTTACGTATAATATACGGCCGTGTTG